CTCACCTCTAACCTCTTTTGTCGTCCATGCCGCCCATTTTTTCTGCTTGGTATTTGTGACATAGTTACCTTTACATATGTTTGTTTTACAGTGATCCTTTCATATCTCTGCAAGTCTAGTGAAGTCTTCAGCCCCTGAGGGCAGAGCCAACAGGGTCTATTTCTTTATCTGATGCTACAACCAATGTAAATAGAGGGCTGAGGGTAAAGACTGCGACTGCCTTGGGGGTAGGTGCCTTTGTTCAGGAGGAGGGAGCTTGAATGGAGGAGGCTGCACCTGGAGGCCGCACCTGGAGGCCCCAGGAGAGGAGTCAGGTCTTCTTGATCTGCAGATGTTTGAGCCTGGGAATGAAGGAATTGCTGAACTTCTGAAGGAGCGCCCTTGCCCCGACCAACCTTGCAAATCGGAAAATGAGAAATCCAGGGAAGGCCCGGAGTGACGGTGGGGCCCTGGGACTCGAAGCCTGACCGCCTCACGCCGCGCTTTTTGAGTTCCCCCCGCCATTCACCTGTAGTGTGGAGGCGGGAGCCCCCCCAAACACTCCCCGATCTGGAACGCTCCCAATGTCTGCGCGCGCCTGCTGTCACTCTCCGTCTGTGTGCTGAGTTTTCCTGCAGCTTCCTGGGCCTCCTATCTATCTGTAAGCTTTTTCTTTTTTTCTTTTTTTTTTTTTTTTTTTGGTGTGCTTCTGAGAAACTCACTTTTCACAACTTTCTCCCGGCTCTCCGAGGCCGTCCGAAAGCTACGGCTTGCTTTCGCCCGGACCCCCGGCTCCCTCCGGGCAGGAGGCTGGGGAGAAGCCCCTTCACTCCCCTCCCGGGCCCCCGGCCCCGCGCTAATCTCTTCCAGAGCTGGGGGAGGGGCCGGGCGGCCTTCCCGGAGGCGGGGCGCTCCATGCCGCCCGGCCTGGGCGGGCCCTGGGAACGGGCGGGGAACGGCCTCGCCCCCCGGCCCCGCGCCCCTCGGACCGGAGGAGAGGGGTTGGCCCAGCGCCAGCGTCGGAGCGCCGGCCCCCCTCCCCGGGCCGCTCGCAGCCAACCAGGCCCTCCAGCGGGGCCCACGTGACCTGGAGTCCTAGACAAAGAAAATGTTCCCTCCCTCCCCCCCGCCGCCCCCCTCCCCTCACAGTGGCCCCCTCCGCCCCCAGCCCCATCGCCCCCTTCCCCTCCCCCCAGACGGGCAGCTACTTCAGAGCTTCAGGGCCGGGGCTCACACCTGAGCGCTACCGCAGAGGGGCTGCACCTGGCCTTATGGGTAGGTTCCTGGACGGAGCCCCGGGGAGACCGGGGGCGGGGAGGCGGCAGGGCCGGTGGGAGGATCTCCGCAGCCCTCCGGGTTCGAAAAGAGTCAAGTATGCCTCCCCGGCCCGCAGCAGCTGCGGCGTCCCGGCCCGGCCTGAGTTCTGGAGATGCTGACTTAGTGCTGGGCCGCCGCCTCCCTGCCCACGAGCCCCAAGGCCCCACTCCTGGTGGGCTCCAGTGGCACTTGGCGCCCTGGGGGGACAGGAAGCGCAGCCGGCCAGGAGCCCGGGACGTGGTAACTGCAAGCTGGGGCATGCGGAGCTGGTGGCCCAGGAGCTGGGTTGGAGGCAGCTTCAGCTGCGCTGGCAGATGGGTGCCTGGCACTTCCCTGTTGACCTGCTTCCTGGCTGGAGACCACGCTGTCCTCAGGGCCCTGCCAGCTCGCGGCCTCTGGAGAGGGACAGCTTCCTCTCCTGCGAGTTCCTGGAAGCCTCAGGGCAGGGCGCCAAAAAGAAGTGGTGGGGGGTGGGAGGGCACAGTACGACCCTGACAGGGGACCGGCCTGTGACACCAGGGTAGCGCAAGGCCGCGTGGGCTTGGAGGCGGTGGCGCGCAGACCTCTGACCTTTGGAATGGGAAGCGCTGCAGTCGCCGGGGGAGGGGGAGGGGGAAGCGGCACAGCTGCCTGAGGAGATGGGACTGTAGTCACCGGAGTTCCCGGTGGATTTCCCAGGCTGGAGGGACTCCAGGCCCAGTGGCTTCCGTGAGCCAGCGGGGAGTGGGGAAATGGTGTGGTGTCTCTCTTGAATGCCACCTGGCCTCTCTGCCCTCCTGGGGGTGAGCAGCCTGCAGCCCAAATGGGAGAGCCTCGAGTTCACCCCTGTTTATCTTACTGTTTGCCGGGGAGGAAGGTAGGAGTGCAGGAGGAAAGGGGGTGCTTTCCCAGTGCCCCAGACAGGCCTATTCTAATGATGCCCTTCCCCCACCCAGCTCCGTCTGCCCCTTCTTCTCCTTTCGTCAGGCCTCCCGCTGCTAACCCACCCCCTTCTTCCTTCCCTAACCCCACTGCCCCAGTCCCGACGGAGGCCCCTTCCTCCTCCGCCGCCCTCACCGGGCTGGGCGCGTGTTCTGCACCAAGTGGGCTGGGGATGCTGAACAGCTCGCAGCGCAGCAGCTGACAAGCTGGGGGAAGTTGTGGGGGAAGAAGAATGTTCAGGAACTCGCTGTGAAGGGGCTGAGAAGAGAGACAAAGGGGCCGTGGGGGAGTGCTGAGGGTGGTGTCAGGCACGACTCCTAGACCTGGGGAGCCAGGGGAGGAGCCCGGCCCACCCGCTGCTGCTGCTGCCTCTGCCGTGGAAGTGATAGCGGGTCCTTTCCGCTTCCCACCCCCTGCCCCTTGCAGACCTTGTACTGGCTCAGGGGCCTCATCACCTCTGGAAACAGGGTCTTTCGATCATCCAAGGCACCACCCTAGGTCAGCCACCCATGCCTGAAGCTTGAGAAGGAGTGGTGGGTGAGGAGCAGCAGCGGGGTGTGGGCTCCTCTGTGAGGGCAACTGAGGCAGCTGAGGATCCCAGGCAGGGAGGCGCCCTCCCCCGTAGGGGGTCTACACTTCAGTGCATCTTCTCCTGGGAGAGGAGGTGATGGCTAATTGATAGTAGGAAGGGGAGGGCAGAGTCCTGGCCAGGTGAGAGTGGGACTAGGGAGCGATGAGCAATTACTCCGCATTCTTCCACCCCCGCAGTCCGATCCCTGAGCTCATTCCACCATCCATGAGCTCATTTTCCCAGCTGTTTGGGGGTTGGGGGCAAAGGATGCATTATCCTGTTTTAGAATTTGTTGAGTCAGAGGAAGAACTAGGAGTAACATCTTCAGTGTTTTCAGAATCACCATAAGAAACAGAATTGGTCTGTGGCTTGGAGGCAAAGACTTGAAGACTCAATGAAATTAAATGAATCTGTAAGATAATACCTTAGACCATTGAGCTTCAAACAAAGGTTCTTAACCTGGAATTCTTGGATCTAGGGGTCCATTGACAAGCTTTGGGAGAATCCTTGGAATCACTGGTCCATATGTACACCAGATTCTTAAACAGGGCAGGAAAGCTTGCCCGAAATCCTCCTGTTCAAGTGCCTTTTTAGATTGGAGCATCTCCTACCCGAAAGGACTGCTCCAGAGTCAGCTGCTGGTTGTGAGGCTCTGACTTGAGATTAGAGCTCTTCCTCATACTCCACGGTGCTTCCCCATCCTCTTTGCCCTTGAGGCTGGGTTTGCATTCGAAGCTCTAGGCCCCTGGGGGAAGTGCCTTTGAAAGGCATGTAGAAAATGGGGTTTTTCCCCCATCTGAATCTAGTATGGTGGAAATGGGTGTGGAGCCTCGAAGTCAGAGGGCCGTGTCTCCTAGATTCAGTAAAAGGCTAATGGTTCTCCGCTAAGTATCAAGGATTTCATTCTCCTTTGTAGGGATCCTGGAGCGGGTTGTGAGAAGGAATGGGCGCGTGGATCGTAGCCTGAAAGACGAGTGTGATGCGGTGAAAGGATGGAGGCTGTGCAATGGGAGAATAACTGGGGTTTGGATTATTAATTTGTTGGTGGGATGGCAGAGAGCACGCCTGGTCTATAGTGCCTGCTCAGTAAATAACTGAATGAATACATGTATTTATGGATCTGAAGGGTGCACACAGAAGGGGTTGAATCTGGTAACAATACATTCTGGGTGTGATCCATAAGAACTCCAGCATGGCATCTGAGCATGGGAACAGGCAGGCTCTTGGGGGAGCTTCCTATGGTGTTTGAGCATGTGCTGGGGGAGATGGGCTCTTTAAACCCAGAGCAGTGACTTCATTGTCAGCAGACATCACAGAACTAGAATTGTGGCCTGGAAATCAGGAATAGGAGGGATTGATTTCCCAGGGAAGTTTTGGAGAAGAAGAGAGGGTCCCCTCTGCTTTTTAAATTTTTGGTGACAGGGTCTTGCTATGTTGCCCAAGCTGGTCTTGAACATCTGGGCTCAAGTGATCCTCCCTGCTCAGTAACTGAGATTACAGGCACATGCCTGGCTGAAGATCCTAGTCTTAAGAAGTAAGATAGGAGAAGGTGGAACCAATATCTGTGCCTAAACAATAGTGCCTGATTAATATTTGGATAGAATTAACATTTCCATAGGCCAGGCAATGACTCGCGCCTATAATCCCAGCACTTTGGGAGGCCGAGGCAGGGAATCACCTGAGGTAAGGAGTTTGAGACCACCCTGACCAACATGGTGAAACCCCGTCTCTACTAAAAACACAAAAATTAGCTGGGTGTGGTTGTACATGACTGTAATCCCAACTGCTCAGGAGGCTGAGACAGGAGAATCACTTGAACCTGGGAGGTGGAGGTTGCAGTGAGCTGAGATCACACCAGTGCACTCCAGCCTTGGCAACAGAGTGAGACTCCGCCTCAAAAAAGAAAAAGAATTAACATTTCTATATCATAGGGTGGGCAACTGATATGCTGATGAGGTTGAGGAATATTAGATTGGGGAGGAAGCTTTCCTAAAAGGCAGAAAAGAAGGCTGGAATTTCGTGATTTGAGTTTACCTCTCTACTTCAGGTCTTTCCAGTTTTCATGGCAAGGCAGTTGGTTGGCTCTCTCCAGCCCTTGACCTTCTGTCACTGTCCCAGGTTTTGACACACTTGTTGAGAAGGTTCCCTTGAGTGTCAGGTGGCCTTGCCAATTCCTGGAGAGGTCAAGGTGACTTGCTTTTTGTTTCCCCAGGCTGAGAAGAAAGCCAAGGTTATTGCAGTAATGAATGCTGTGGAAGAAAACCAGGGTTCCGGGGAGTCTCAGAAGGTGGAGGAGGCCAGCCCTCCTGCTGTGCAGCAGCCCACTGACCCCGCATCCCCCACTGTGGCCACCACACCAGAGCCCGTGGGGGCCGATGCTGGGGACAAGAATGCCACCAAAGCAGGCGATGATGAGCCGGAGTACGAGGTGAGCGGCTTGCTTCTTCACCAGCCGTGGCCAGCTCTTTCCGGGGGCCTTCCACTGCCAGCTCCTCCCGTCCTGCTCTCCTCTCTCCATCTCCCACGGGCCGCTCGCTCTCTCCACCTGACCCCGGGCCTCTTCGTCTCCCCGATTTTGCTCTGTCTTGCCTCATTCAGATGGAGCTCCCTCCTGGCTGTCCTGCCCCCCAGATGCCCAGGGCTGGGGTTGCCATGGGGGGATCAGGGTGGCAGGGCCTCGTGACCACTGTGTAATGATTTCTGCTCCTTGGGGCTCCAGGACGGCCGGGGCTTTGGCATTGGGGAGCTGGTGTGGGGGAAACTGCGGGGCTTCTCCTGGTGGCCAGGCCGCATTGTGTCTTGGTGGATGACGGGCCGGAGCCGAGCAGCTGAAGGCACCCGCTGGGTCATGTGGTTCGGAGACGGCAAGTTCTCAGTGGTGAGTTGTGGGTTTGGCAGTAGCCTGGGGTGGGGGGATCGTTCTTGATCCCAGAGCCTGTGGTTTCGGCTGGGGGCAGTCTGGAATCGGGGTGATGGAAGTGGGTTCTACTCATCCCCACGCTGCCTGTGGTGGCTGGAAGAAGCCTTAGGGTTAATTAGGTTGCACCTGTGGCTCAGAGAGCTAGGATGCCGGCCCAGTTTTAGCCTTCCAGGAACATATTCACTAGAATTCCTTTCCACCTGCGCTCAGGTACTTCCCTACTCTTGGTCTGGACTCCTCTCTTTGTGTCGGGTTGTTGTTTGTCACTGCATCTGGTCCCCTCCAGGGCTGAGACTGACTCTCAGTGCTTCCAGCCGCTGCCAGTTGCGAGGCACGGGTGGGTGCTTGCAAGTGGAAGCAGCAGCAAACAAGGCCTGGCTTGTCCCCGCAGGTGTGTGTTGAGAAGCTGATGCCGCTGAGCTCGTTTTGCAGTGCGTTCCACCAGGCCACGTACAACAAGCAGCCCATGTATCGCAAAGCAATCTATGAGGTCCTGCAGGTGAGTGTCCCTGCTGGGAGCTCGGAGGAGGTGCCTAGAGCACTAGAAGGCCTGGAAGTCAGAGTGCAGGTCGGGCCAGGAGGCAGTGACTCCTTCCCACCTCAGTTGCCACTTATGTGCCCTTCTTCTTCCTCCTTAGCAGTTCCCCCTGCCTTGCCCGTGCCACCCTCACTACTCAGAGTCTGGCCTTAAGCCCTACTCATCTGCCCTCCAGCCTGTCCTGACACCCCCATCCCTGGCGTGTTGATCTCCAGGTGGCCAGCAGCCGTGCGGGGAAGCTGTTCCCAGTGTGCCACGACAGCGACGAGAGTGACACTGCCAAGGCCGTGGAGGTGCAGAACAAGCAGATGATTGAATGGGCCCTGGGGGGCTTCCAGCCCTCTGGTCCCAAGGGCCTGGAGCCACCAGAAGGTAAATGTGGGCACCTAGCCGTCTGGCACCCTTGCCCGCCAGGCAGATCCACAGCAGGACTGGGAAAGCCAGCCATGCTTAGGGAGGGTGGCCAAGGCCTCCGCGGAGGGGCCCAGTGGGAATGGCCAGGGTCTCCATTGACCCAGGGCAGGACTCGAATGACCTGCTTGGCCGTTGGCTGGCTGGAACCAGAAAGTTGAGAGGTGGGAACAAGTTGGAGACCAGGCTACACCTCCCTATAAGGAGGGTGGGGTAGGGGCTGGGGTTTCCTGTCAGCCTGTAACTGACCTTGGCCCCTGCTTTCCTGCTCCAGAGGAGAAGAATCCCTACAAAGAAGTGTACACGGACATGTGGGTGGAACCTGAGGCAGCTGCCTACGCACCACCTCCACCAGCCAAAAAGCCCCGGAAGAGCACAACGGAGAAGCCCAAGGTCAAGGAGATCATCGATGAGCGCACAAGAGGTAGTTGGCCTGCTTCTGGAGAGGGAGGCACCGGGAGGCCTGCATCCGAAGATCGGGCATGGCGGCCTCTTGACGCCAGCTCTCTTCCCCTTGCAGAGCGGCTGGTGTACGAGGTGCGGCAGAAGTGCCGGAACATTGAGGGTGAGTTTGTTGCCTGGAAACTCCAGTGCTCCTGGTATGGCGTGGGGCAGAGTAGCGTAGGCACTTAGGAAGGTTTGAATGACAGGGACCAGGGGCGGTGTCCTGCGTGTCACACCACCTCCACCCCGCTTCTCACACCATCTTCCTGGTGCCAATCCTACTCTCCTGTCAATGGCCTGGGCTGGTCTTCAGGGTTTAGGACTCCCCAGTCACCAGAGGAGGGCACCCCTCTTGGATGTGATGTAACTCGCCTGCTGGTCACCTTTCAGCCTTTCACCTTTGCTCACCATAGTCATCCCTGGTCTGTCTCCCTCAGCCAGGTGCTAGTGGAGCTGGCTCAGGACCCTCAGGGCCTGGGAGGATTGGGGCAGGGGCAGGACTTGAGGATGGCCCCGGAATCCCTCCAGAGTAGCCTGGAGACAGGGCTGTGTCTCGTGAGCAGGTTTCTGTCCTCCTGTCACTCCATCTCTGTTCACGGATGGTGGCATTGGTGCTGTGAAGTGGTGGCCTTCTGAGACTGGGGCCACAGTGCCTCCCTTTTCCATGGAACACCCTGGACTCTTTTTCTGGCTGCCGCTCTGGCACACCCTTTTTTTGTGGCTGGTCTGGTGCTGGGCTCCAGCCCGGGGAGGGAGAGGCCCTTGGGTGGACTCACCCCATCCCCTCGCTCTGCTTTCCAGACATCTGCATCTCCTGTGGGAGTCTCAACGTTACCCTGGAACACCCCCTCTTCATTGGAGGAATGTGCCAAAACTGCAAGGTAGGGGCACCCCTGTCCAGGAGAGGTGCCATTGAGGCTGGTCCTTCGGCCTCCTGGCTGACTGTACCCACCACTTCTGGGCATGTATGGGGATGACACCCGGTATGCGTGGATGTAGACTTCAGAGCTTCCTCTGGAAGCAGAGTCCTGGTGACATGGGCCCTTGAGCTTCAGGCTTTTCACTTGCTCTCATTTTTCTCCTCTGAAAGATTCTTGTCTCTTAAGCCCCATTTTAGTCCCCAGATGTGGGGATGGGGCAGAGCGGCGGAGACCTGCTCAGGCTGAGCGTAGCAGGGTTGCCATGCCCTCAGGAGCCCAGCAGAAAAGCCCAGAGCTACAGGAAGGCCCAAGGTGGTGTTGCAGCCCCCTGCCTGGCCTTGATCTCAGGCTGTTTGGTTCTGTCCATGGCGGCACACGGGCAGACCTGGTTTCCCCTTCCCAGATCTGCAGCTGGGGCTGACCCTGGTTAAGGAGGTGGTGGGTCTTGTCTCTAGGGCTGAGTCAGGTTCTGCAAGGCTGGGCTCAGAGCCTGCCTTGGTCCTGGCCGTCCTGGGACCCGCCCTGGTGGTTTCTGACCCTCCCCGCTGCTGTCTAGAACTGCTTTCTAGAGTGTGCATACCAGTATGACGACGACGGCTATCAGTCCTACTGCACCATCTGCTGCGGGGGCCGAGAGGTGCTCATGTGTGGGAACAACAATTGCTGCAGGTGAGGCTGCCCTCCCTCCCCTCGCCACTCCTCCCTTCTCTCCCCTCCCCCCTGCCCCCCTTCTCTCCCCTCCCCCCTACCCCCCTTCTCTCCCCTCCTTCCACCCGGCTCCCTCATCGCTCCCCCCATAGACCCCCAACCCCAGCCATGCTGGCCTCCTTCCACTGGCTCTGCTTCCCTCCCCTCCCTTCCCCACAGACCCTCAGCCCCTATCCCCAACCCCCTAGCCATGCTCTGGACCCAGTCTTTCCATTCCAGGTAGCAGACCTTGGCTTCCCTGGACCAGGGCTGAGAGTCCCCTCTGCTACTGGGTTTCCTTCCAGGTGCTTTTGCGTGGAATGTGTGGACCTCTTGGTGGGGCCGGGGGCTGCCCAGGCAGCCATTAAGGAAGACCCCTGGAACTGCTACATGTGTGGGCACAAGGGCACCTACGGGCTGCTCCGGCGGCGAGACGACTGGCCCTCCCGGCTCCAGATGTTCTTCGCTAATAACCACGACCAGGAATTTGTGAGTGCTGGGCGGTCTCGAGCTCCCTAGGCTGAGCCTTGGTTGTGGGGCCTGAGCTTCACACAGGGTGTGCAGGTCTAGGAGCCTGGCTGGAGGGTCAGCGCTGGGTGGGAGTGTGGGACACGGCTGGGCGTGCCCCTGACCTGTTGTGCTCACTGCTTAGGACCCTCCAAAGGTTTACCCACCTGTCCCAGCTGAGAAGAGGAAGCCCATCCGGGTGCTGTCTCTCTTTGACGGAATTGCTACAGGTGAGGGCTCAGGCCCAAGAGATGCTGGCTGCCTTGTGCCAGGATTGGGGAGCCGTGTGTGGGGCAAAACGAAATGACGGTTAGCTTCATAGCTGTTAAAATATCACCCCAAAGAGGAAACGTGTGTGAAGTGAAAACGTATGCAGTCCATGGAATTAGATTTGACCAAAAATAAAAAGGTGGACTAGGTGGGAAAACAGCCTGTGTGCTGGACACTTCCCTTAATGGTGAAGACTCAGCAGCAGAGGATGGAGTGATCATTAGTCGGATTCACAGAGATTTCACAGAGCCTCGAAGGACAGACTCAACAAGACAAACATATACAGTTCTATTGTGTTTTGATTATACACAAGATCTAAAGAAGGCTATTTAAATCACCCGTTATCCTTTTATTAATATTTTGGCATCCTTTTTGGACTTTTTTCTGTGCGTGTGTTTATGTAACCATACATCCATAGATAGATAAATTAAGTGGATGGTGAATGCACATGGTTTTGTAACTTGCTTTGCATTTATTATGACTGCTTTTTCATGGCAAACAATATAAAGCTACATTCTTTATTTTTTTTTCTTTTTGAGACAGAGTCTCGCTCTGTCACCCAGGCTGGAGTGCAGTGGTGCAATCTCCACTCACTGCAACCTCCACCTCCTGGGTTCAAGCAATTCTCCTGCCTCAGCCTCCCAAGGCACTGGGATTATAGGCACGTACCACCACCCCCGGCTAATTTTAGTATTTTTTAGTAGAGACGGGATTTCACCATGTTAGCCAGGCTGGTCTCAAACCCTGACCTCAGGTGATCCACCTGCCTCAGCCTCCCAAAGTGCTGGGATTACAGACGTGAGCCACCGTGCCCAGCTAAAGCTACATTCTTTATTTGTAAGTGCTGCATAGGGCTCCCTTGAGTCAAAGTGTCATGATTTATTTAATGAACTCCTATTAGGTCATTTACTATTTTTTTTTATTATTATAAGCAGTGTTGTGACAAGCATCCTGATATAATAACTTTGTATACTTCAACCATTCCCTCCTTAGGAAAACCTTTAGGAGATGCTGGGTCACCCTACAGGCATTGTCTACTTTATGTGGCTCTGGATACTGCAAAAAGCATCCTAGGTGGTTGTGAAGACACATCCAGCCCTCTGCCCTGCCCCCCAGCCACGGGTTTCCCCAGCTCTTCTTAGAATTTGTGTCTTTGTTTGGCCAGAGGGAAGATAGGTGGTCTCAACCCAGGGACCCTGGCTAGAGGGTAGGGTAGGGGTGCCTTCCTGGGCCAGATGTTTGTCTTCTGTTCTCAGCTCCATGCTGCTCTTCTCTAAACCTAGAAAAGTTCATTTATAGCTTTTTGTTTCCCAGGCTGGAACCTTGAGACCTTCTTAAATCATGTCACACTCCAGGAGGCTTTAAAAGCTCCTTGGTGGGGGGATGTGTTGGGAGCAGCAGAAACAGTGCCGCACCCTGTTTCTCCTGAGGTCCTCTCAGTGTCTGCTCCGATTGTTTCCTTGCCTCAGTTTGGCCAGCATTTCTGGAGGGGGAGGGATCGTGGTAAGGAAATCAGTGTGGTTAGCTGGGGGGAAAACACAGGGAGGAGGCCTCCTCCCTCTGGAAGAGTCTTTGCAACTCATGAGAGGACTGAGTGAGGAATGGAAGCCACTCTGATGGGGAGGCAGGGATGCACAGAGCTGGGGACTCATAGCAGATGGCGTGGTGAGTCCAGGGTGGGTGGGCATTGATGAAATCTTTGTGGAGCAGGGAGCATTCGGTTGAGTCTTGAAGGGTGGGGTAGAATTGTAGCAGGAGATGATAAGAGGGTGTGGAAGGACCAAGCTGTATATGGAGGACAGTAAAAGGCCCCCAAAAAGTCATGTGATTCTTCCTAGATCCTGGAACCATGTACTCGGGTCAGTTTTCCGTAGCTTTGACTGCCTTCCACATAGGCCAAGAGAGGCGTGAGACAGAGCCTCGATGTCCTTACTATGGATACCCCAGTTGGATCCAGAAAGGTTTAAGGCATCTTCAGGGAAAAGATAGGACTTGGGCCTGCAGCTGACCCCACAGGTCCTGTTGGCCAGCAGGCTCACCTGCCAGGACCAGGGTGCCAGGGAGATGGCTCCGAGTAACAGTGCTGTCTGCCGGCTGGCACAGGGCTCCTGGTGCTGAAGGACTTGGGCATTCAGGTGGACCGCTACATTGCCTCGGAGGTGTGTGAGGACTCCATCACGGTGGGCATGGTGCGGCACCAGGGGAAGATCATGTACGTCGGGGACGTCCGCAGCGTCACACAGAAGCATGTATGTCCGTGCTGTGGGGCGCAGCCTGTCTTCCCCTCCCCGCACACTCGGCCCCTAGAGGCAGCCGTGGCCTCCTTTCATTTTGTTTGCTCTCTTCCTCTTAACCCTTTGCCCCAGCCTCTTTTTCTCCTTATCTTCCATTTGTCCTCTGTCTTGAGAGGGTAAAGGGCAAATTGAAATGGAGGTTTGGGCTAGGCATGGTGGCTCCTGCCTATAATGCCAGCACTTCAGGAGGCCAAGGTGGGAGAATCCCTTGTGGCCAGGGGTTTAAGACCAGCCTAAGCAACATAGCGAGACCCTCTCTCTGCAAAAAATTAAAAAATGAGCCAGGCGTGGTGGGACGACCCTGTAGTTCCAGCTCCTTGGGAGGCTGAGCCGGGAGGATTACTTGAGCACAAGAGGTCAAGACTGCAGTAAGCTAGCATCACACCACCACACTGTAGCCTGGGCAGCAGAGCAAGACTCTGTCTCTTTAAAAAAGAAAAAAAAAGCTATTTGAGGCCTTGCCTACTTGGGCTCTGGCTCCTCCCTGGGCTGGTTTCTGGGCCCTTTATAAGTAGAGCTCTTTGGATTAGAGAGAGGTTCCTGCCTTCCCAGTGCTTTTGGCAAATAGCTTTACCAGCCTTTATATCTGGGAGGCTTTGGCAGGGTCTTCTCTTGAGCATGACTACAGGCCTTCTGGAGTCCTGAAGGGCATTTGGAGGGCATTCACATGGCCCAGACACCCTGCCTAAGACACTCAGCGCGCCGGGTACCTTCAGACTCAGCCGTCCACTTGGGTCGTCTTCCCATTGGGCGGCTGTGCTGCCTGCCTGGGGCATGCTGGTTTCCCCACTGGCCTGAGAGATGATCCATCTGGTCCCCTTCTTGTTTAGGACTCAACCCATGGCTGCAGTTAGGGTCGTGAGCCTGCAGAGCAGCCAGGTCTCCTCTCTTTCGGGTCAGAGGACTTCTTTGCCAAGTTCACAGATCATTTCTCTTTCTTCCTGTCTGCCTCTGTCCCTGGACAGCAGGCCCATCACGTTGCCTTTATCCTCCCAGATCCAGGAGTGGGGCCCATTCGATCTTGTGATTGGGGGCAGTCCCTGCAATGACCTCTCCATTGTCAACCCTGCTCGCAAGGGCCTCTACGGTAGGTACCATCCTTCCCCTCCACCTTCTCAGCTGGTGCTTCCGCACATAGTTTTTCCTCCTTGGATATTTCTGCCCTGGGACAGCTATTCCCGATGACCCTGTCTTCCCGTGCCCGCCCCATGCCCAAGCCACACCACTGTCTGTGCAGGCAGCCCCAGCTGATGGCTTTCTCTTCCGACCTCTCAGAGGGCACTGGCCGGCTCTTCTTTGAGTTCTACCGCCTCCTGCATGATGCGCGGCCCAAGGAGGGAGATGACCGCCCCTTCTTCTGGCTCTTTGAGAATGTGGTGGCCATGGGCGTTAGTGACAAGAGGGACATCTCGCGATTTCTCGAGGTATAGCCAGCAACCTTGGTTTGGCCAGCTCACTAATGGCTTCTACCTTGGCCTGCTGCTCCATCCCTGTCTTATCTGCATTGTGGAGCTGGGGACTGATGACTTCTGCTTTGCAAGGGGCCTGTTTGGGAAGCCCCAGGCTTTCGGATTGAAAGGGAGGAAGCAGAGTTAGAGGCCCACCTCAGAAAGAACCAGTGGTCTCACCCTAAGAGGTGGGTATAGACCTGCAGGGTTGAAAGACCTTTCACCGAATTGGGTGGGGTACCTGACTTCTGGGGATGGGCATTCTGTGTGGTGTCCGTTCACACTAGGACCTTTGAGAGGACAAAAATCAGTTTTCCCTGAGCAAGCAAGGCCTGTCCTCACTCCCTGGTACCATGACATGGCACCTGAGAAGCAAGCAGGACTTAGCTGAGTTTTCATTCTTCCTCATGTGAGTCCCAGTTTAACCCTGAGCCAAGTCTGAGCCATGCACAGAGAGCTTCTGCTGCCAGAGGCATGCTTAGGATGGCCCGTCTGGGAGCGTGAGCACACTTGTGCTCCCGAGTCTTGGGGGTGGGTCACACCATGAGCTGGTGTTCTGGCTGTAAGTGAGAGCAGGCCTGTGTCTGAGTTATAATCGGGGCTCATGGTAAACCCACCCACACTCGCTGGAGCCTGGGTTTTCCCAGCCTCTGGGTAGTCTGGAGCCACACTGTCCAGTATGGTAGCCACCAGCCACATGTGGCTATTTATATTAACATTAACCATTCAGCTCTTCAATCACACTGGCCTCATTTTAGGTACAAAATAGCCACCTGTACTAGTGGGCTAGTGGCCACTGAATTGAACAGTGTAAATAGAGGACATCCCCACCATCGAAGAAGTTCATTTGGACAATGCTGACCTAGAATGTTCGGTGACAGCATGTAGAATGTGGCTAGGTGAAATTCCAGCTTCTCCTGGAGGCTGCAGGCTAGCCCAGTGAGTGGCTCCTGAGAGAGAAGTAAGAGCCTTTGAGGCTTTCAGGCTCAACACCACAGCATGCTGGCGCTGTTTCGTCTTCCTCCTTGGCTTATCTTCAAACCATCTCCTGTTTTGTAGTCCAACCCTGTGATGATTGATGCCAAAGAAGTGTCAGCTGCACACAGGGCCCGCTACTTCTGGGGTAACCTTCCCGGTATGAACAGGTTGGTGAGAGCTCCCGGGCCTGGGGGGCTGTGGGCTGGGACTGCAGATGGGATGGCCCACGGTTGGGGGGGGTCCCTGAGCCGGGCCCTCTCCGGCCAGCCTCTGCCAAATGGCTAGCTGCTCTGCCGGGTTGTTTATTTCCTTTTCCTTGAGGAATAAGAGGAGTCAGGGTATGGAAAATACTTGTCTGAAACCAACAACTAGTGGTCTTAAAGCAGGACTTTTAAAAGTACTCTCTTTATACGAAAGATACGTGTGCTGCCGAGCTAGGTGGTTGGTTTTCTGACATTGGTGATGTGTCCCGAGCCCTCTGGTGCTTAGATTCTCCTGAGGCAAAGCCATGGAGCATGGCCTTAGGACTGGGAAAGGGAGTCATGGCCATAGCCTGTTCCAAGAGAGGGAATCTCGCGACGGCTACATATGAATTCAGGGTTCTGCTTAATTTTCCTAATCACACACTTGGTTGGCTTCAGGTCCTTTCTTTGAGATATTTTCTTCAGTTAGGTTACACAGATAAAGATTTTACTATCCAAAAGCGAAGAAAATTAATTTCTCAGGTGTAAAACTGGCATTATAAAAAGGCTTTTGAGGCAAAAGAAATTGTCCAGAGTTGGCAATTCAGAAGCACACTGAGAGCCACTCAGTCCCTGTCCATTGTGGAGGGAAGTGTTTTCCAGAGTGTTCTGATTCATGGGTGATAAACCTCCTTGGTCTGCTACTTGGTATAACTAGGAGACATCATTTCACCTGGCCTCAGTCAAATAGTCTCCCTCCTTGCTATTCCCATGAGGTTGTAAGACCTTTCCCATCTCATACGTGTTTGGTAAAGTTGCTGTCAAGGATTTGTTGAGGGGAAGGAGATGGGGCATTGGGGCAGCTGACCTGAAACTGTCCCCTGAGAGTTCCCGAGATGCATGTGTGTATTGGAAATAGATGGGCTAATGTGGCTCAGTATTTTCATAGAGCCACTTGGTGTCTCCTGACAGACCTTGGTCCTAGGGGATTTCTCGCCTGCTTCTTTCATTACTAAAATATTGAACTCTGAGCTTCTAGGAGGAGCAGAGGTCCCGCATGCAGGGCTGACTGGACGGTGCACGCATAAACAGTTGGGTCATCTGTTGAGTGCCTGACTTGACTGCTGGCCCCCATGGTTCCCTCACTGAATTCCTGGAGCCAGTGCTCAGGGAAACCTTCCTTAAATACCCTTACCTGTCAGAAGAGGTCAGCATGAAGGGGACAGCCTGCACCCTTAGAAGTGATGTGTTTAATGTCAGAATTTTGGTCTTCAGGGAACTGCAGAATTTAAGTATTTTTTTGAGACGGAGTCTTGCTCTGTCACCCAGGCTGGAGTGCAAAGGCATGATCTTGGCTCACTGCAGCCTCTGCCTCCCAGGTTCAAGTGATTCTCCTGCCTCAGCCTCCTGAATAGCTGGGATTACAGGCACCTGCCACCACACCTGGCTAATTTTTGTATTGTTAGTAGAGCTGGGGTTTCACCATGTTGGCGAGGATGGTCTTGAACTCCTGACCTCAGGTGATCGCCTGCCTTGGCCTCCCAAAGGGCTGGGATTACAGGCTTGAGCCACTGTGCCCGGCCCAGAATTTAAGTCTTTTAAAACTGTACGTTTAAGACTTGTGGCTTAATGAATCTCATCCAGTGGACACACCCATGTAACAATCACCACAAATCAAGATTCAGAACATTGTCACCCCCAAAGCTTACCTTGCAATAGGACGCTTGAAGCTCAGTGTATTTTAGACTAACTGATGTAAAGATAGCTGTGGTTTTTTCCTCCTTCTGCTGGGTGTTATCTGCCTATTCGTAGTTTGAGACCACTTTCGAATTTACCTCTACGGATGAATGCTTGGCGGAGTTGTGTTTGTGGATGGCTGCAGTGTGTGTTGGTGTATTTATGGGAAGTTTGAAGAGGGTTACGATGTGTGTACATGATTTGGAGAAGGGCGCTTTACCCTGTGAATTAGTGGCTGCTGGGGGGGGAGGGAGCCATGTGGCTGGGGGCCTTCCCGCTGTCCTCCAGGTTTCTGTTGTTACCGTCTCTCTTCTGCCTCCTAGGCCGTTGGCATCCACTGTGAATGATAAGCTGGAGCTGCAGGAGTGTCTGGAGCATGGAAGGATAGCCAAGGTCAGCTCCAGCGTCCAGGACCTCTGCTGGGGGGCAGGGAGAAGGAAGGGCAGGAAGAAGTGGAGCGGTGGCCAAGGCCATGTCCCGCCTGCACCTCCAGCTAGTGTGGAGAATGCAATTTAGGAGCTAGTGCAGGGACATGCAGCGGGGCAGCCAGAGGAGGGCCCGGGGCTGCTGGCCTTCAGCCCTTCCTCCCTGGTGAGTGTCGCCCACCACACCGGTAGACACTGAGGAGTCTACTAAGACCTGGACTTGCTGTGGTTTTTCATTTCTTAATTTTTTGGCCAAAACCTATTGCAAAAGCCTTGAAATCAGAGCAGGCTCCCATGATATGGAAGCTCCATTTCTCTCTGGAGCTGGAATCTCCTGGAGTGAGTACCTGAGGTATTGGGTTCTGTGTCAGCAGGTTCCAGCATTCAGAACCATTGGCAGCTCAGAGGGCATCTTTGAGCCCCTCAGTAACTTGGCATCCTTTAGCCTACAAGTTACTCCACCTCTGAAAGAGCTAATTCTTTAGAAGACTTGGAAGGTATAGTGGCTACGGCTTCTACTTCTAAAGTCTGTGGCTAGGCTGGGCATGATGGCTCACGCCCATAATCACAACACCTTGGGAGGCTGAGGCAAGCAGATCACCTGAGGTCAGAAGTTCGAGACCAGCCTGGCCAACATGTTGAAACCCTATCTCCACTAAAAATACAAAAATTAGCCGGGCGTGGTGGCATGCACCTGTAGTCCCAGATACTCGGGAGTCTGAGGCACGAGAATCGCTTGAACCCAGGAGGCGGAAGTTGCAGTGAGCTGAGATCGCACCACTGCACTCCAGCCTAGGTAACAGAGCGAGACTTCGTCTCAAAAAAAAAAAAAATTAAATCTGCGGCTAAATGGACCTGACTACGGTTGGCCAGATGACCTCCAAGCAGGAAGAAAAGTGGGGCTGTTTGGTGTGCGGAGGCTCCTTGCCTGGTGAACTCTGCTCTCTCAGAGCCATACCCAGCCCCTGGGAGGACCAGACCCTGTCAGGGTTGGCGAGTACCTGGCATACTTGGTAGATGCATGGTCAGCGTTGGCTGGTGAATGAATTCGTGCTCAGTCCTCTTTTCTCTTCACCTTCTAGTTCAGCAAAGTGAGGACCATTACTACGAGGTCAAACTCCATAAAGCAAGGCAAAGACCAGCATTTCCCCGTCTTCATGAATGAGAAAGAGGACATCCTATGGTGCACTGAAATGGAAAGGTACCCGAGTTGTGCGGGTCTGGCTGTGGCATGGGGTGTTCTGGTTGCCGTGCTTGCTGGAGGGGTCCTCTGCCTTTCCCACCTGGCTATTTTTCCACAAATGCCCTGGGAACAGTGGGTTTTATCAAGCATTTCCCAAGATGGCAGACTCCAGGGGTGGACTCCTGGCTCCTGTGTATTGTAAGGCTGGTCCAAAGTAAAAGGAGTCTAGGGGCCAGATGCAGTGGCTCATGCCTGTAATCCCAGCACTTTGGGAGGCAGGCGGATCACCTGAGGTCAGGAGTTTGAGACCTGCTTGGCCAACGTGGTGAAACCCCATCTCTACTGAAAATACAAAAATTAACCTGGCATGGTAGTGTTGTGCGCCTGTAGTCCCAGCTACTCAGGAAGCTGAGGCAGGAGAATCACTTGAACCTGGAAGGTGGAGGTTGCAGTGACCTGAGATCACATGACTGTACTGCAGCCTGGGCAACAAGAGAGACTCCATCCCAAAGGGGAAAAAAGAGGAGTCTAGGAATCCCATGGTGCCTTGTCTCTCAGAGACCCTGCTGATCCCCAAGGAAATGCTGCAGCGGCAGGACCTTCCTGAACTTGTGGTGCCAATTTTGTAGGTCTCTTGTAAACCAAGCCAGCATAGGGCCAGGCAGACCTTACAGCCTCCCCACCCTGGATTTGGTGCAAACAGGACTCTCGGTGCTGGATGACCTTCTTGTTCTCTGAGTATAACTAGGATTTAGCCAGACAAAGAGACCATTTACACAAACAACCAAAGCAAACAGGAAATCCTTCAGCTTCTGAAGTCAGGCCGGAGTTCAGCTCATTTTTTGCCTTCCCTCCTCTCAGTGGGCAGGATGCTAGGGCTGTATGTTCATTACATGCAGATTCGAGGTGTGTGCTGTGGAGCTAGCCCTGGAGGAGAGGGGAACTGTAGAGTGTGTCCTGGAGGTGTTTCTGCAGGATTGTTCAAAATTATCTTGTTTCTGCTGGGTTGTGAAACTCTAGGCAGTGACAACCTTACTACCTCTAAGGCCACAGAAACCAGCACAGTGCCTGGCACACGGTTGGCGATCCGAGTGCTGGGTTGTTTATAAAGGACAGAAGATTTGGCAGAACTAAGCATGCATCAGGAGTTGGTGGGTGTGAGTGCCCCGTCCCTGCTCTGGGCGGCTGCTGGTCCTCTGGGTCCTGCTGTGTGGTTAGATGGCTTCCGAGCAGCCTTGTCCCGCCAGCACTCACCCTGCCCTCTTTGCCTTCTCTCCCTCAGGGTATTTGGTTTCCCTGTCCACTATACTGACGTCTCCAACATGAGCCGCTTGGCAAGGCAGAGACTGCTGGGCCGGTCGTGGAGCGTGCCAGTCATCCGCCACCTCTTCGCTCCGCTGAAGGAGTATTTTGCGTGTGTGTAAGGGACATGGGGGCAAACTGAGGTAGCGACATAAAGCTAAACAAACAAAAAAAACACAAAACATAATAAAACACCAAGAACGTGAGGATGGAGAGAAGTATCAGCACCCAGAAGAGAAAAAGGAATTTAAAACAAAAACCACAGAGGCGGAAATACCGGAGGGCTTTGCCTTGCGAAAAGGGTTGGACATCATCTCCTGATTTTTCAATGTTATTCTTCAGTCCTATTTAAAAACAAAACCAAGCTCCCTGCCCTTCCTCCCCCTCCCGCTCCTTTTTTTTTTTTTCCAGTCAGACCTTTTGTTTTCTACTCTTTTCAGAGGGGTTTTCTGTTTGTTTGGGTTTTGTTTCTTGCTGTGACTGAAACAAGGTTATTTCAGCAAAAACCAGTAACAAAAAATAGTAACAATACCTTGCAGAGGAAAGGTGGGAGAGAGGAAAAAAGGAAATTCTATAGAAATCTATATATTGGGTTTTTTTTTTGTTTTTTTTTTGTTTGTTTGTTTGTTTTTTTACTATATATCTTTTTTTGTCTCTAGCCTGATCAGATAGGAGCACAAGCAGGGGACGGACAGAGAGAGACACTCAGGCGGCCGCATTCCCTCCCAGCCACTGAGCTGTCGTGCCCGCACCATTCCTGGTCACGCAAAACAGAACCCAGTTAGCAGCAGGGAGACGAGAACACCACACAAGACACTTTTCTACAGTATTTCAGGTGCCTACCACACAGGAAACCTTGAAGAAAATCAGTTTCTAGAAGCCGCTGTTACCTCTTGTTTACAGTTTATATATATATGATAGATATGAGATATATATATAAAAGGTACTGTTAACTACTGTACAACCCGACTTCACAATGGTGCTTTCAAACAGCGAGATGAGTAAAAACATCAGCTTCCACGTGGCCTTCTGCGCAAAGGGTTTCACCAAGGATGGAGGAAGGGAGACAGCTCGCAGATGGCGCATTCTCACGGTGGGCTCTTCCCCTTGGTTTGCCACAGAGTGAAGGAGGAGAACCTGGGAGCCGTGTTCTCCCGTTTCTCCCTGCCAAAAAGGGGGTTAGATGAGGTGGTCGGGACCGTGGACAGCTGAGAGTGGGATTCATCCAGACTCATGCAATAACCTTTTGATTTTTTTCTAAAAGGAGACTCCCTCGGCAACCTGGCAGGGTACGGAGTCTTCAGGCCCAATTTCTCACTTTAGCCGATTCGAGGGCTCCTTGTGGTGGGATCAGAACTAATCCAGAGTGTGGGAAAGTGACAGTCAAAACCCCACCTGGAGCAAATAAAAAAACATACAAAACGTACTGGTGCTTTCCTGTCTAAGTCGCCTTTTGTGTGTTCTTTTATGAGGCCCCCACCATCCACCCCTCTGTGCACAAGGCGGCTCCTGGCCCCTGGAATGTGATGTTTTTGGTCATCTCCAAAGGCTGCAGTTTTATACTGGGAGGCTGATGACACCTTTTATTATAATTATTCTTATGGTTCTGGTTATAATTATGTTTGTTTTGAGATTTTCTTTAAGAAAACAAAAACCCAACACCCTTCCCTTTAGGTTTCAAACCAAGGTGCGGGAGCAGGGTGCTTCTGAGTTAGCGGTGGCTCTGGTGCCCTGGCTCCCACCCCTCGGGCCAGGTGGGCCACTGGGCATGGTGACAGCTGGGCGGCCAGGGAGTCCCTGAGGTCTGCCTTCCGGGCTCGTCACTCTTCTCTTCTACTTCCCCTCCTCTTGAGTCGGGTGTGTCAGGGCTGGAGGGAGGACCGGCCGTCTCTCTCCTTGTGTGTGTGGTTGGAGTGGTGTGTGTTTCTTTTCTAGTACTCGGTCTGATGATAGCTGTGCCCTTACCTCGAGTCAGCAGCACTTGGAGCCCCCAGTGCTCGGCACTTGGTTCCGCCTCCTACAAGGCAGGCGGCCTGGCGTCAGCAGTAGGAAGGGACAGTGTTGTTGGCTCCAGGGTGAGGGCCCGACGGGCAGGTGCTTGCCTGGGTAGATGGGGTGTAGATATGTGGCATATAGAGATATATATTTTATAATGGGAGGGGGGATGGCACCTCCTGGGACTGGCAGAGCTGGGAGGTGTGTCGGCAAGCACATGGCCCCAAGTCCACGTCCCTAGAAAGATGGGGCCTACGGTGATAGGCGCTCTATAAATACATAGATAGGGTCATGTATAAGAATTATTATGGGGTGGGGAGTGGGGGAAGCGGGCTCAGTGTGCTGAGCCTCGGTCCCCACTGCAGACATAAACCCCACACCAATCAATCTCGCACGCATACACAGGAGCTTATTTCTGTACTGATGCATAACGAATGCACTCTCACACACGCCAGGGAGCCCCCAGCACTCTTCTCCCAGGGTTCAGGACTTTGTGGAGTCAGCCCGTGCAGCTATTTACCTCTGTTGCCCTGATTGCAGGTAGACTGTCAATCCCAGAAGTTGCTAGGTGCTGAAGGCAGGAAAAGGAGGAGGTTTTATTTCAGCAGGTGCTCTCCTCTAGCAGGTAGTGTTCTATCTCTTTTGCCCCTGGTGATGTCAAAAGATTCTTCTGTTAGCAACCTGTGATACTGACCTGCAACTCTAGGCACCAGTAAAGTCAGCCCTCAACTCCCCCTACCTATTCTCCCCCAACAAAAATCAAATTGACATCCAGGTCTGTCTTGGCCAGGGGGCTTTCACTGGGGAAAAAAAAATGGGACAGTGAACCTTACCTATTGACTAAACCAAATTAGTAATTAGTGACAAAACCAAACCAAGACTTTGACCCCCTGCTCATTACTCAGGAGTAAATTCACACAGCTGGTGGCCAGTCTCACTCCTTTTTGGGGTGCTTGGTCCTGGACCCCAATCTACTGTCTCCTTGACAGATTGGTGTTTAAGATCACGCTCAGTTGCTTCCTGTCACCTCTGACAGGTGGTGACTGGGCCCCTGTGGGGCTGGAGCAGCGAGGAAGGGAGCCTCTGCCCCCTCTTTAGAGTCCCTGTGCTAACTGTGGTGCTCGCCCAGCCCCTCCTTGCTCCAGCGGGGGGCTCCGTCCTTCGGGCCTGGAGTCCACCAGTGCCACTCCAGGAGGGCTGGGGGAGGAGGGGCTGCCTCAGGCAGTCCAAGGTGCTCCCTCCCCCGCCGGCCGTCGCTAAGGTCTTCCCGGCTCCCAGGATCAGGACAGAGTCATCTAACACTTCAGGCTCTCCCAAGCCACTGCTTAGTGACAGAGTTAGGCTTTCCCAGCTCCACCGGAGCTGGGCCTGGTGCCCCACCCAAGGGATTGGTGTGGGGACTTGGAAAGAGACTTGGTAGCCAAGGGCATGGCAAGCCTGGGGATTCCTGTGGGCCGGCTTGCTCCAGGAGGGAGTGCTGAGCACAGAGGAGCCTTTACGGCTGACAGCTTGAGAGCACTTGTTCCTCCAGGTCTAGCCACTTGACTGGGCCCTAGAATGGATCAGATGCCCCAGAGGTTGTGGGTCCCCCTTGCAAGGACAAGAGTTAACAATCACCAGCTTTTCTTACAGCCCAGCCTGTGGTCTTGGTCTCACAGTAGAACTTGGGGGAGAGTGTGGGGGCTTTGGGATTGTGCCAACTTGGCTAAGCTGAGACGTGCTTAATCCACCGCAACCCTGGGGCCTCTGGGGACAGGTATTGGGTCACCTTCCAAGGGGCGCTGTGCTTCAGCAGGCTGTAGATAAGGCAGAGGTTAAGGTAGTAGAGTGGGGCAACCAAGAGGGCCTAGGGAAAATCGCCAGGCATATTCCCTGTGGGATTTTCTCTCCAAAGATCAGGCCCATTTCCCCCTTAGAAACATGGGTTCTGGGGGTTGAGGATGGCAGCTTCCCCCCTGCAGGTGCCAGGTGGAGCATGATGCCAAAGAGATCTGTGGCTCTTGCCTGGGGGAGGTAGCCAGGTGCTAGTACTGGGGACACAGCCCTTGGCCTCCTGCGTGAGCAGGAAGCTGGTTTCCAGCAGGTGGCTGGTGCTAATCCCCACCCCAAGGGAGTGTCGGGACAGTGAACAGGCAGCCTGGGGGCGCTGCAGGTGGGCACTAGCAGGGGTCTGCAGTCCACAGATGATGACGTGAATCTGTTGCTCTCCTTTTCTGTCTAAGCTCCAGAGACTTCTTGCTATTGAACATCCTATTGGAAAGCAAACTTTCCAAGACAGCATCCGTGACCTGTTAGCTTTTGAAACGGGCCTGGGTGTGATTGGCTGGTAGGGATGCACGTGTGAGTTTTGGCGCGTTGCAAGGATTGGGACAGGCAGCCCGGCAGGAAGGAAGGCTGACACCGAAAGGGTCTCACAGGGCCCGGCTCCCCTTGCCTCCCAATAATTGACTCTGGGGAAGTCGCCACCTTCTCTAGCAGAAGGAATATTTCAGCAGAGCCATCTGGGAGATGTTCCTCCAGGAAAACTGCAGTCATTCATTTCATAGTTTTGCTTACATAAATAGAGTAGATTTGGGAGGCAGTTTTGAATTCCTGTCTCTATGCTGCTTGGTGCAGAATTGCAGCGGCTCCAAGTGTCTTTCAGAGCTGTTGCTTTTAGGAGCCCCCTCAAGCTGCGGGCTTAGGGCCAGGGCAGGGAGGGGTGCTACCTGGCACTGTGCCCTGAAGAGGGGCTGCTTGCTTGCTTTGGTCGGGAGCATGGCAGAGCCAAGATTCTGGTGGGAACCGAGTTTCTAGCCAGGCCCCTGTTTTGGTCCCGGGAGGTGAGTAATCTGAGTTTGTCGTTGTGCATTCTCCAGGCTGCCTGCTTCTGGCGTGGGAGCCTAGAGGGCCCCCGTGGAGTTGTCCTCCAGGAGTCTTGCCTATTTGGCAGGAAGCAGCCAAAACCTCCCGCTCCCAACCCCGGGGGTGGAAAAGGTGTTATGGAGGGATGGCCTGGAGCTAGGATGGCCTTTCTGGCTGTGCCCTGCTGAGCCAGGATTAGGGAAGGTGTCAGCTGCCTCCTCACCAGGCTCTGTGCTGGGTCAGGAGGGCCAGGAGGAGAGGGAAGGGATGAGAGGATGGACTCTGCTGTTGCAGCGGGAGCTCTGCAATCTTTACGTTTTGGTAAAGGCAGGCCAGGGTCTTTGGGGACCGAGTTGGGGAGCCTTGTCTCTGTGTTTCTAAGACCCATATAAGGTGGGCCTTTGGTGGGTGACCTGTCTCTGACCCGAGGCAGCAGAGTTTTGGGGGATAGGGGGAGAAAAGCAAGCAGGGAGGACAAGGACAGAAGATCCCTTTGCTGGTGGTGACTTACTTACTTCCCCCACCAGAGGGCCCGGGACTCTCGAAACTCCCTAACTGGAAAGCTCCCTGGCTCAGCTCCACTGGAGGGGTGAGGACGGTGGCTCCCCCAGCCCCAGCCTAGCGGCCTCCACCCCTGTGCCTGAGAACATGAGCAGCGGTCTAAAGTCCCCTAGTCCCATTTAACTTCACAGACCAATTTGGTTGCACAGCCCTAGAATTCAACAGACAACAAAAATGCTGAAATTCCTTAGAATACGCAGAGGGAGGAGGTGACTCAACAAGGTGCTAAAACATTTTATTAAAAATATATATTGTTAAATTAAGTCTGCTGTCTGGACAATGACTGTTTGTTTTGTTTTCTTGTAGTGGAGTTTAAAAGAGACTATTATTTTACTCTGATATATTATTATTAAAAAGGCATTTTAACTTTGTACTTGAAAACTAAATGAGCGATTTCATGTGTTTTAGCTGAGGCATTGAAGTAGCGGGTGCTTACTTATTTGTGGGAAATCATGTATTCATACTGAAGAATAAACTCCGTAGCTGATTTGGTAATAACTTTTACTGTTACAGACGATTTCGCTTTGACCCCGGTGGCAGAGCACTTTTACTCCACATTCCACGCAGCTAAATGCAGGACTTCCCAGGCCCTTCCCTCCCCAGCCCTCTTTCCTTTCTCTTAAGTTCCTCTTTTTTCCTTTATTATTTTTTTTTTCCTGGTTCCAGCATCCTTTCACCACTGTGTTTTTTTTGTTGTTGTTGTTGTTTTTGGTTTTTTTTTTTTGTTTTTTTTTTTTTTTTTTTTTTTTTTAGGGTTGCTTCTCTATTTATTGACAATAATAATGTACATTTCACAGTCTGGTTCTAGGACATCCAGGGAGGGACGAGTGGGGCCCGAGTGGGGCCCTGCCCCACCCGCCTGGTGTCCTGTTGTATCTCTGTGTAAGTGATGCTCGTGACATAGCTGTTTATGAAATAATTAAAGAGGTCAATGCGTACAACAGATGTAGAAAGTCTGTCAGTTCCGCCTTCATCACATTTTTTTTTGTGCCCAGAAGAATATAATAAAGCTCCTTTCTAATGTACTTGTGCTGGAGAACACTTGAATAAATGGACTGTTTTTGTGCAAAAAGAAAAACGGAAAAGCACCGTAATAATGTCCTTTTGTCTCGCGTCTCTTTTCCCTGCCATGACTGTTCACAGCCTCCTCCAGGGGGCTCAAGTACCTAAGCGGGGAGGTGCTAGCATCTGGCCCTGATGAGACAGGGCCTCCCTAAAGCACGTCACCTTCATGAGCATCAGATTAGTAAACGGGGCTGTCCCCTGGGTACAGGAAAGAGTTTGGTTGACTGGAAGCTGAAAAAATAAGTTATGGTGAGACAGGTTGCTCGGAAAGTAAATTCAGCTCTGGGCTGAGCAACAGAAGTTATTAATTTAGAGACAGAGTTTTGCTCTTGTTGCCCAGGCTGGAGTGCAGTGGTGCAGTCTTGGCTCACTGCAACCTCCACCACCTGGGTTCAAACGATTTTCCTGCCTCAGCCTCCTGAGTAGCTGGGATTACAGGCATGCGTCACCACATCCAGCTAATTTTGTATTTTTAGCAGAGACGGAGTTTCTCTATGTTGGTCAGGTTAGTCTTGAACTCCTGACCTCAGGTGATCCGCCTGCCTCAGCCTCCCAAAAGTGCTGGGATTACAGGTGTGAGCCACTGTGCCCGGCTCAGAAATTTTAACACCAGAAAAGGGAGAGGAGCATACCTTACTCCAATGCCTTGATCAGATGCAGCGGGAGGAGGATTTTTGAACCTGGGTGCTCAAACTCTAAGCAGTGTTTTGCCAACAAACAAGCATTCAGAGGAGAGCAGCCAGAGTGGTAGACGGTCCGGACTGTCAAGGCCCCAGAACAAATCAGGGCGATTGTCCTAGAAAAAGGAAGAATCGGTAGGCCAATGTTCGTAAACACCGACGGGGCAAGCCCAAAGGGCTGGGGTCTTTCCAGGTGTTCCACAGGCAGGTGGAATGGTGCAGGGAAGCCAGTGTCAGCTCAGCATAAGGGAGGGAGGTCCCTTTCCCTGCTCCAGCTGACAATGCAACGGCCACCTGAGTGCAGTGAAGCCCTGAGCAGTTAAAAGTGCTGGACAAGGCCGGGCGCGGTGGCTCACGCCTATAATCCCAGCACTTTGGGAGGCCGAGGCTGGTGGATCACGAGGTCAAGAGATCGAGACCATCCTGGTCAAC